TTGCGGACACTGCTGCTGTGAACATTGGGGTGCATATGGCCCTTCTTTTCACTACATCTGTGTCTTTGGGGTAAATACCCAGCAGTGCAATTGCTGGGTCATAGGGTAGCTCTATTTTTAAATTTTTGAGGCACCTCCCCACTGTTTCCCTCAGGTTTCTGACAGGGCCATTGGTGCTGCCAGGGTCTGCTCTGCAAGGGATTTGCATTTAAGGAAACATAAAGCAGGCAACACCTCCCCCACGGAGATAATGCTCTGGGAGGCTCGCTCAGTCGAGGGCGGGGTCCCTCTTGTGTCTGAGCTGGGCTGCCTTGGCTGGGGACTTTCCTGGACCTAGTACTTCTCCTGAGCTTCCGCCTTCCTCCGTCCTGCCTCACTGACAGTCCACAGGGCCTTTAGGGGCAATCACTGGGGGCTGCATCCCTGTGCCCCAGAAGGAGTGGCCAGGGCTGCCTGCCCTCCCTCAGGAGGGAGAGTCCATCCCCTGGAGCTGTGGGTAACCCCACTGCACACCCCAGCACCACTGGCAATCCTGCTCAGGGAGCAGAACTCCCAGAGCTGGCCCCCATTAAACAAGGGTAAGTCCAGAGCTGCTGACTGGCTCGGAGGCACCTCCAGCCTTGGCTCTGCCCATAGCAGCCACAGCTGGTCCTGTGTCTCCCTCTCCATCTTCCTCTCTTGGGGTCTCCAGCCAGGTTGTATGTGGCAGATTCTCTTACATGGTATTTGAACGCCTGTGAAGATGGCAGCTTCAGGGGCTGTGGACCTACTGAGGGGGAAACACTGCTGTCAGCACCTCTGACCCAAACTCACCGTGACCCTGACCCTGAGCTCTGCCCCCTCTCCTCCGCGCTCTCCTAACCCGGCGCAGGTCAGGGCTGGTGCGGCCTCCACGAGAGCCAATCTGAGGATGGTCCCAGCACTCAGAGCCCCTGGCAGGACCGCACTCTGACAGCCCTGTCTTCTTTGCTCTTTCTCTCCTCCCCAGGTGATAGCCAACTCTCCAGCCAAGTTAGTATCAAAGGAAAGCATGTGCGTGCACTTGTGTGCATATCCCAGCATGCGTCCGTGTGTCTGTTGGTCTGGACAGCGTGCGCCGCGGTCAGCATGTGTATGTGCGTGTGCATGTGTGAGTGGGGGTGCATTTGTGTCCCTGAGCGAGCCTGCATGTGTGTGGAGCTGCAAGTATGGAGGGAAGGCATTGGGGAGGGGTGCTAGGGCTCAGTCTGATGTGCCCTATCCCTTCCCTCTTTCCTGCTGCGGCTGCTTAAGACCAGCAGGCTGGCTCTGGGGGCAGAGGGGGGATGGTGGGTGGAGTGTGTGCCGAGCTGGTGCTGGGTTCCATGTGAGCCTGAAGACATTTCTGTCTTGGCGGGACCGTCAGAAGGGCTGCGCCTGACCTTCTTGGCCCCAAGGAGTGCACTCATCTGTTGGAGGGGAAAGCCCCGGATGGGCAGAGACTGGTGGCCGCCCAGCCAGTTGGACTTGAGGAGGACTGAGCAGCCTGAGTCCTGCTCCGAGGAAGAAACACTTGCCCCGAAGCATCTGGAGGAGCAGAGCCCTGGGCCACTGAGGGCATGGCCAGCAGGATGAGCCCCTTCGTGGAGGAACCTTGCTCAGAACCCCCATGGGTGCCCAGTGGGGCTGCTTTTTGCCTTTGGGTCATTCTGGACCCTGCTTGGGCTGCCGCTGCCTCTCACGCGTGGCCCAACTCCTGTCCCTAACCTCCAACCCTCTTTGTCTCTGCTTCCCTGCTGGTGTGGTGAGAGAGCTTTCAATGCCTGGCGCCCCCTGCTGACCCTGAGATGTAGCTCGGGCTGAGCCAAGGCTTCCCAGGATCTGGGATCGCCAACGTGGGCAAGAGAAACCTGCTACTGAGGGCTTTGGGGAGGGTGCTGAGGATTTTCTCTAGCAGACCCAGCTGTCCACAGTTCAGGGGACTTGGGAACCTACCTGGGATCAGGCCTTGGGAGGTCTCTCCACCACCGGCCCTCACTTTGACCCCTGTGTAACACCACCTGTTGCCTTTTCTCCTTCTGCCTCCCTTCCTGTTCCTCTTCTGCTCCCCCTGCTGCCCTCCCCCAGCGCCGACTACCAGGAACGGTTCAACCCCAGCGCCCTGAAGGACTCTGCCCTGTCCACCCACAAGCCCATCGAGGTGAAGGGGCTGGGCGGCAAGGCCACCATCATCCATGCGCAGTACAACACACCCATCAGCATGTACTCCCAGGACGCCATCATGGACGCCATTGCTGGGCAGGCCCAGGCCCAGGGCAGTGACTTCAGTGGGTAAGCGCCTCCCCTCCTCTGCTGTCGCTCATCGGTCACTGCCTCCACCACTGGCTGGGCCTCCTCACCCGTGGAGGCCAAGGGCACCAGGCTGCTGGGCCCCATCAGAGACATTAGGCATCGGGATCAGCTTGCCTCCCTCACCGTGGGCCTCTAGGGGCATGGCCGTTGGAGGGGAGCCAGCCTTTGCCAGGGCCTTCCAGAACACCGTATTCTCTCTTCAGAATCAGTCTCACGGTCAGCTTTAGGAGAAGGGTGGAGAATTGAAGAATATGGTGGTTGCTCCAAGTGCTTCTCACAGCTTCTGCATTTTCCCGGGCTCCACAAGGGGGTCGGTTTAGAAAGAGATTTCTGGAATCCTGAGTCACATTCTGGATAAACCAGTCTTCTCACAAACTAAGCCATTCTTTGGGGGAAGCTGCTGCTTTCTTCCAGTGATGAGAGCAATTCAAACGCGTGACCAGGTGTCTTGTTTGGGAAGGGGCCTCTGGACCAACCATCCAAGGTGCTGGTGGTAGTCAGCCCACTGCAGAGCCTGGAAAGCATCCCCTCTTCCTGTTTGTTCCAGGGAAGCCCAGCCTCAGGGCAGTGGGATTTAGGACATCCTTGGTTCCTGGAATTAGCCTGTTAGCAGTGGTTGAGGTACTTGAGTGTTGAATAGGGAAAGAGTTGGCTGAAAATCCTTTGTGGAAGAAACTGCTAATAGTGCAAACAGTAATAGGGACCTCGCTCCCTCTTTCTTTCTCTGTCTCTCTCTCTCTGTATCTCTCTCTTTCTGTATGTGTCTCTGTCTTTATCTCTAGGTCTCTCTCTCTTTCTGCCTCTCTGTATGTCTGTCTGTCTCTCTCACAAACACACTCTTATTGTTTTCTACCTGAGAATATCATTGTTGCTGACTTCAGAATTGACTGATTATCTCTTTGGGCAACATCTTATCCCCGAGTCAGGATCTCAAGCACCTCAAGGCAAGAAATCTTAAAATGATGGTTGTATTTTTTTCCGAAGCTAGGAAATACAGATGTTGTAAGAGGGATAAAGGGGTTTAAAAGTCCCCGATAACTCCCATTGTGTTTGGCCTTTGCGGAACCCCGCCCTTGGGGCCAAGACGTCCCTGCAGTTACAAGGGGCAGGCTCCAGGGGCCAAAGGAAGGACTCCCCGGCTCTCCTCTTCGGCTCGCAGTGCTTCCTTTGGGCCACCAGGGGGCAGAGGTTGCTTGCCCTGGAGCCCTGAGTCTCAAACCCACCAGGTTCCGAGCTGTGGCTCTTTGTTCAGACCAGAATATATGACCATGCAAGTTTAAAAACACAACCATTAGCTCATGTGTACCCAGAAAAACAGGGCTGCCTGACTAAGCCAAAAAGCCAACAGGGATTTCCTGTTAACATTTGTTTGCCTCGTGTGTCCTTGGTGTGCTCTTAAGAGTGGTAACGTCGCCAAAGGGAAGTTCAGTGGAAAATAATGGAAGAACTGCTCTTCGCTAACTTTATATACTCTGCACTTTGGAAAAAGACTACTACCATTTGGTTTCACCACTTTTTTTTTTTTTTTTAACATGACGCACCATTGACCTAATCTAGGCTTCTCAGAGTACCTCTCCCACCTTCCTCCTATCCCCTCCCCTCCCCTCCCCCTCCCTTGCCCGCGTGCCTGGGAAGCAACCGGCTCTCCCCTTCCTTCTAACTTAGCCCTGCTGGGCTGATGTGACCATGGTGCCGGGGGTAGGACCTGCCGGCCCCCCTCCCCTGTGCCGTAAGGTGCTCCGTTTCTGCTGTTAATGCCCATGATTCCTTCCTCACTGACAGTTTTCTTTTTGTCTCTTTCTCTTCCTCCTTTATCCACCCCGCTCCCATAACTCATTTCTGACCCTAACCCGCTCCCTTGTGTGCGCGCGGCCCCTCTGCCATCCGCTGACGGACACGCGCTCACTGCTGGGCTTTCTTCTGCTTGGCAGGGCGTCGCCGCTGGTGTAAGTAGACCCCACAGTGTCTGTTCTGCGTCGTGGTCGTCTGTCTGGTCGAGGGATGGTGTGTGGGTTTGGTGGGATATGTCTGAGGACAGCGGTTCTGTCCGTGTCCTTCCTCACACCCACCTCACAGCCAAACGACATGCTCAGCAGTCTACACACGCAAGTGCTTTCGGGGTTTGCCTCAAATAATGTCACTACGGACACGGAAATCAGAGTCATGACATCACCCTGCCTCCCCTGCACCCAGGGCTGGGAGTGGGTCTCCGTGCTGTGCTTTGCGGCGGCTCCCCACAGCCTTCCCCGTCTGCTCCGGGACAGCATAGACTTGAATGTCGGAATCCACGTGGGGCCATTATTCAGGGAAGAGGGTGATGAGGGGGCCTCTTGGAGGCCATTCCCTAGGATCCTCACGGAAGATGGATCTGGAGGAGCCAGCACCTGCCAGTACCACCCATGGGAGGCGAAAGATGAGTCAGATTTGGGGGCAGTGGACAGTGGGATAAGTGTCCAGAGGTGACCTTGATGTTGTGGTGACTGTGGAATGTTTTTGGTGGCAGGAAGACCAGGTCGGGAGTGGGTCCAGAGTAGCCTCGGACCCAGGGTCCCAGGGTCCCAGGACTATAGGGCCTGTTCCATCCTTTCTCGGGACATATTCTCCCTGAGCCCCAGAGTCTCAAAAGGACGGGAATTCCTTCCTCTGACTCCCAGCGTCTGTCGTGGAAGCAACACAAATCCCTGGTCTTTGCGCAGCATTGTGGGAAGTGAGACCAACAATGTGAATCCCAAGGGACTCACTCCAGGGAGCTTTCTTGAGCCCTTGGAGCTGTGGAAGGAACAGGGGAGTGCCTCAAGGGCATGTTCCAGAGAAATGGCAGCAAACACCTTCCATCCACTTTCTGGACCACGATGCTGTGTAGGCAGGCTCAAGGGCAGGGCCTGGGCTTGAGTCTACACCTTCCCTCTGCTATGGTGAGATCCACACTTCCTCCTTCCCTTCTAGCAAACCAAGGGTCCTGCTACTGCCTTCCTACTGCACCTCTCACTCGAGGGCAGCCGACACTGCCTCTGCTCCTCCCTAGGCCAGAAATGGCCTCTCATAGTGAGATCCCATTCTCTCTTCTCTGGGCAGCCCCAGCCTCCCCCTGCTGGACCCCGGAGGGATCTGCTGGTCTTCCCCATCTGATCTGAGGCTGCCAGTAGCCGTAGCTCTTGGGCGGGGGGGGGGCGCAGGGCAGAACCTTCTAGGGAAGTAGGGGCAGCTCCGTGAAGTCTTGGTCACCTTTTGTCACCTTCCTCCACCCCTGCTCTTAGAGCCCACTCTGAGCCATATGCTGGGGACCAATCTTGAGAGACTCCCAATCCTGGGAAAGTAGGCCAGTGCTTCCTTCCAGCTTCCTGCAGAGAGGCTAGAAGATGTGGGCCCTGGGGAGGTCCCTCTCCCAGCCAGCTGGCTCTCTGGAGGGCAGGAGAGGCAGCCCTAGCAGCGGGCAAGGGGAGGCTGGACGGAGTGAGTGCCTGGGCTGGGCCATGTCTCCAGGTATGGAGCATCTGGGGTGTGCAAGGCCCCAGTGGGCAGAAGTGGCCTCTCTGAGTTGTTTTTGCTGCAGAGAGTTTGATGGAGAGGACAATGGGGTGGGACCCAGGAAGCCTGGGCTCTGACCCAACAGGGCCCCTACGTGCTGTCACCTGGAGCTAGCCTCGCTGGACCTCAGTTTCAGCATCTGTAAGGGGAGAGGGCTGGGCCACTGGTCCATAGGGTGAGGAGCCAGGCCATCATTGCTGTGAACTTGACCCAAGTCCACCCTAATTCCCGGGAGGGTGGGCTGGACAGCCAGGATCCTCCAGTTCTCGTGGCCAGGGTAAGTGGGCACCCATAAGATGCCCTGCAGTCTGAATCAGGCTGGGAGGCCCTGGACCCAAGAGATTCTGGGGTCCCTTCTGGCTCTGATGTGGGATTCATTCATTTAAGCAAGTTTTGAGTACCTGCTGTGTGCCTGAGGGAGTCTAAGGGAAGGTCACCTGGTCCCCCTCCAAAGGCCTTGCTGCCCTGGAGCAGAGGACCAATGACCTGCCCTGCAGTTCTACTCCCAGCTCCCCCAGGCCAGAACCCCCCCGCCAGCTGCCTCCCCCCATCGCAGGCAATGCCAGCCCATCAGCCTGGTTGCCTTATTTCTCACACCATCTCCCCACCCCGCCTGCTCATGTTTGCTGAGCGGGAGCCCCCAGTCCGCTTCTGGGGCAGGCCTGGCACTGGTGGCTCCTTGTTTGGATCCAACAGTGTGAGGAGGACAAAGGACTGACCCTGTAGAAGCCTCTGAGTCCCCCGAAAGGCCCGTTGTCACCCAGCCCCAAACTCAGGAGCTGCTCAGAGAGGGTGAAATTATTTCAAAAGAACTATTCTGCCTCTTCTTTCCTTAAAAGAGATCCAGCCCTCCCCCTGAGCGGGGGGCGGCTGGGGTGGGGGTGGGTTTTCAGGTCTGCGTGTGGAGTCAGCCCAGGGTGGGGTGTGGGCTTGACAGGAGGGATCTGAGAGGAATCGCTCTCTCGCTGTGGCCACCCTGAGCACTGAGGACCCAGGCCAAGCCCTTGTTGCAGGCTTTCGGATGGCAGTGGGTGGAGGGCATGGTGGGTTGAGACAAGTAGGGGCCACCAACCGGTGTGCAGGGTGTGGGGGTGCGAGCAGATGAGCTGTGGGGGCAGTGCAGGAGGACAGGAGCAGGCCTCCAGCCTCGCCCTCACTCATGGCTTCTCTCTGCCCTGCAGGAGCCTTCCTATTAAAGACCTTGCGGTGGACAGCACCTCCCCCGTGTACCAGGCCGTGATTAAGAACCAGAACAAGCCGGAAGACGAGGCTGACGAGTGGGCCCGCCGCTCCTCCAACCTGCAGTCTCGCTCTTTCCGCATCCTGGCCCAGATGACTGGGACAGAATACAGTAAGTGAAGCTGCGGGGGGGGCGGGGGGAAGGGAGGGTTGGCCAGGGGAGATGCGGAGGGGCCATGAGGCCTAAGGCCCACAGAAGCTAGGGAGTCGAGCCCCTGCCCTTGAAGATGAGCTGGCCTTGACAGATAGCTAGGGGCCTGCTGAGCCCCTCTGGGCCCCTTGGGCCAGGCTGCCAATGACATCGGCCCTCTGCCCAGCTCCCTGACTCCAGCGGGGGGCAGCCCACGTGCCATGTGGCTTGCAGGCAAAATGACGGCCCAGAGCTGGGATAAGAGAACCTCGCAGGCCACACCTCGGACCACTCCCTCCCAACCGTACCATTTCCTCTGGGTCCCCCTTCTCCCCCTGCCCTCTGCCCAGCACACAGCTTTCCCCTGCCACGGTTTACAGGAGGGCAATCACTGTTCAGTCATTGGTGGGGTCTCCTCTGTTCTCTGCGATTCCTCCTGATCAGCAATTTTCTACCCATAGTGCAAGACCCTGATGAAGAAGCTTTGCGAAGGTCAAGGTAAGTGCCTGGACTCAGGCTCTGTGGCCTTGTCTCTCCTAACCCAATCCCTCCCCAGGCAGCTCCCAGGTCACATGAATCATGGAAGGAACCTCTCAAGTTTATGTATTTGGAAACTCCTGGCCCCTGAAGGGCTCCAGCAGACGCTGGCTTGAGGCTTTCATCCCAGGTCACTGAGGTGGGTGCCTGGAGCTGAGTCTTTATCCCCGGGGCCCAGGCTGCAGGAATAAGGATTCTGGGCTCTCCTGGCTCTGTCCCTGGGCAGGGGCAGGGCTGCTTTGGCCTTTGCTGGGCTGCTGAGAATGAGGGCATCTCTCCCTGTGACGGCTGCCCTGCCTGCACACTCATCGCAGGGCCCATCCCCTGTGAGTCTGGAGGCTGGGCACTGGGAAGCAGGCATGCGGAGGGCTGTGCTGGGCATGGGCACCTGACCTTGGGATTCACCTGTCCAGACCTACACTGAGGTATTAGTTCCATAAAGTGCTCAAGGCACAATGGCTGCTGCTATAGGGCTAGGTGTCTCAGGGTATGGTCCCCCCAACAGCAGCGGGCCTGGGGCCACAGCCACCAACCTACCACCCGCAGCCTGCCAGCTGCTCATGGACCTGGCCATGAGGGGGGCACACTGCCCTGGAACCCACTGGAACCTGCTAGGGTGTTCCGTGGTGAGGCCTGGGGCCCTGTATGGTTGTGTTTATACTTCCGGCGACAAATGTTGTGCGTGCTCTTCCTGGGAGAGTCTGTCTTGGGCCAGTGCATCCTGGGGCGGCCTCCCTGTAAGGGGCTGGGGCTCAGAGGTGCCTTGTTACGTGGGTCCAAGCTCTCTATACTTGGCTAACCGGCGTGTAGTGATCCCAGGATTGTGCGGACAGTGGGGCTCTGGGGTCTGCTCAGAGTTGATGTGGCTTTTATTTTCCAACCTCCATTTTTGCCAATCCAAGCTGCTCCCACTTTTTGGCTGGGGCATCTAAGCAGAAAGTGCGGTCCTCCCAGGCCTGCTAACAATGAACGGCATGCAGTTCCAGGAACTGTTGTTAACCCTTCAGTGCCTGCACCGTGTCTACATAGAGCCCGAACTGAGATTTCGCTCGAGTTAGTATCTAGCTACTTCAAGTGTGACTGAGCTGTCGGCTGTCCCCACTCCTATGCTCCATGGCGCTCTTCCGGTTTGGCCACCTTCCTCTTTGAAGCCACCCACAGAGACGCTCCAGTGAGCAGTGTAGCTCCCTGACAGGGGGGCTTTACCCCACACCAGCACCCCCACCCCGCTCCCCGCCCAGCAAACAGCCTTCTGTCAGGAAGCCTGCAGCGTGTTTTCTCTCCCGCCCATGAGACAGAGCCCTGCCTCTGGAGTGAGTACTTCTGGTGACGTTTAGTCCCTCTCGCCAGTCAGTCTGAGCTCGCACCTCATCAACCAGACACCGTTTAGAAGGCAGAACCTCTTTCGTATTTCCGCGGGGAATATCTGCAGGCTCTGCAAAGTTCTTGAGTGAGAACACCAAAGCCAGTATGAAGGGGTGTCTCTGGGCCTCGGTCATTCCCTCCTTTCAGAAGCATCTCCCGGGGCTTGTTCTGCCTGGTCCTGGAGATACGTGGGCAGGTTAGTCCTCACCCCCGGGGCCGAATCCCACAGGAGCATGGCTCAGCCCCCAGCAGGAGGCAGGGGGTCTTGGGGTCTTGAGAACTCTGGTGCAGGTCTTGGAGCCTCTCCCCAAGCTACTGAAGGGTTTTCTGTAGGGAAAGCTGGAAAGAGGGCCCAATAAGAGGCTCCATCCTGCTTTTCCCTCAGTTCTGGGCCCCCACCCTGAGAAAGCAGCTCCCCCCACCCCAGTACTGCATTGCTGTCAGCCCTGGGGTCTCTGGGGGCACCCACTAAACCTTCTACCCAGGCCTGGAGGGGCATCAGCCTCCAGCTCCTCTCCCTTTTCCTGACTTTAATTTCTGGGAAGTTGCCTTCAAAGCCTCCCACAAAATGTGCCTTCTCCCCGGAGTCACAGGAGGTAGGTGGGCATTTTCATCTCACTGAATCGCAAGCAGCCGGAGGGTCTGAGATTAAGGCTTGCCTTCTAAACGGTGTCTCTAGCAGCTGGTAGCAGGTAGCTTCCCTCTGAGGCTCCAGTGCCCACCTGCTGGCCAGCCCAAGGCAGAGCCTAATCCCCAGGGACCCTCTCCTTACAGGTGAGGCAGATGCCCTAAATAGTCCAGGCATCTACTGTGGACTTGCCCCCCCTCCAGGAAAGACCCCCAGCACCTTACAAACTCTCTAGGCAGGCTAAGACAGCAACCTCCTGCTAGCTCCTGCACGGGTGCTGGGAATACTGGGGCTCCTGGCCTCCAGCTGAAGTGGCAGAGCCCGAACAGTGCCTCCATCCAAAGGCCGAGCCTCTAATCCCAGAGACGTCACCACAGCTTCCCTCTGACTTGGGGCGTGCATTCCGGGGCTCTGATGGCTCAGAAGGGTGGGTCCACGCTGGGCAGCGCTGACCAGGGTGGAAGCAGAGGCAAGCCTAGTTTGTCCTAGGCACGGTTTGAATCTTCGAGGCATCGGGTTCCCACTGCTTGGGTGTGACCATCCCAGAAGACCCCAGTGTGTAACTCAGACATCCCCTTGCCCCCACCTTGGAGCTCAACTGTCTTATCAGAGCAATTTCTGCATTTACCCAATGCTCACCTGTGTAAAGAACGCTGCCACTCTCTTAGACCCCAAGTGTTAAGGACTAAAGTTGATTTGAGTGACAAGTTCACAGAGGAGTCGAAGGTGAGGGTGGCCCTGCACACTCCTCCACGGTGTAAAATCCCTTCCAAGTCCCTACTCCACAGTGGCCCCATCCATGGTTCTTTTTCCTCTCCCTCCCCTACTTCCAACAGAGCTCAGGGACTCACTGGTTCCTCCCTTCTCCCCACTGTGGCCTCCCGGGGCACTCCAGTGTCTTCTTCCCTCCCTCCCTGTGCACAGTCAGCTCTGTCCCAGCTCCTATGGCTGACTCTCCTGGTGCCAGCACGGCTCTGAGCCCTCCCCCAAAGGGAACCTTCGTGCAGACGGCAAAAGTTTTGTGGATTTTTCATTCTTGGCGTTCTGCCGGCCTAGTAAGTTTGAAAACCACACCAGGAGAAAGCCTCGTGGGTGTCCCAGGACTTCTCCTCCTTTCTCTCCTGCCGGCTCTCCTCTCTCTCTGCCCCCTCTCTTCTTTCCTCCCCTGGATCCTGTCTTGGGCAGGCTATGAATTTACCAACAGCTGCAAGAGAGCAGGCTCATGAGAGTCGCTGACTCTCCGGGACTATCTCTGAGCCTGTCACTGAGCACTGATGACAAAGACCATGGGCCTGGCTGGACACACTGGCCATGTCTGTGTCCTGGGTGGTCACAGGATGGTCGATTGTGCTACCAGCAGGGCCCCTGCTTCTGCTGTCTTCCTTCCTTCTCCCCGACCTGGGAGACATCCTAGTTAGATCCCAAGTCTGCCGCTGAGTTTCTGCGTGGTTTAAGGCCATTCGCGAGACATCTCTGGGCCTTCGCTTCCTCTTGGTATCAGGAAAGTTTGGTCTTGGACAGTGGTTTTTCAAGATGCTGGCAGTCAAACAGAATCTTCCGCACAGTGTGCAGGACTCAGCGTGTAGAGGGAGAGTCTGCCACGTAATGCAGATGTGGGGTGGTGGAAAGGTGTGTATGTGGGGATGCAGGACTGCTAGAGAAATGTAAACCAGCATTGCCCCATCTCTGATTTTCAGAGACCTGACGCTGATCTTCCTGACCTTTATACGCTGGCAATTCGTTTATTAAACTACTTATCTTGAGATAATTGCAGAACTGGCATGCAGTTGTAAGAAATTGTAAATATAGAGAGATCCTATACACACCTTATCCCCCATGGTAACATCTTGCAAAACTACAGTACAAAATCACAACCAGCCTGTGGACACTGGTAGAGCCAAACACAGAATATTTCCTTCACCCAAGGATTCTCCCCCTGTTGCCCGTCTATAGCCACACCTACCTCCCCACCGTGCACACCCTCTCCTTAACCTGCGGCAACCACCAATCTGTTATCTGTTCTCCATTTCTGTAGTTCTATCACCTCAAGTCTGTTGTGTATATGGAATCATATAGCCCGTGACCTTCTGGGATTGGCTGTTCTTAGTCAGCCTGATTCCCTGGGGATTTATCCAAGTTATGGAGCATACCAATGGTTCATTCGTTTCTTTTTATTACTGAATAGTCTTCCATGGTCGGGACATAGCAATTCATTTTTAAAAGGAGTTTTAAACACTGTCCGGGTTAAACACACCGCTTTTGTGCCTGGATGTGGCCTCTGGGCCACCAATTTGCACCTCTGGTCTGGAGAATATTAGCTGTCCCTCCAGCCTGGAAGGTCTAGGATTCTGGCATCCGTAGCACTCGCGTCTCCTGAACGCAGCCTCTCCTCTGTTTCGCCGTTCCTGGCTGTGCCTTGGCTGTTTTGTCCAGCGCCCTCGGTTGAGCAGGCTGTGGGTGGAGCCCCGGAGGCCCTGTCGGTGGGAAGTGGTGGGAAGTCCTGGTCCCCTGTGTGTGTGCCAGTGGTCTCGTGAAGATGCACGTGCACGTGGGTGCCTGGCTGTGCTCAGGCCTGGGCAGGTGGGGGCAGTTGGTGGTATTTGAAGGCTTCTGTCTGGGGACAGAGAAGGCTTGGCAGAGGCCAGGGAAGCATACGGAGGTGACAGGTCTGCTCACCAAACCTCATCACGGGAACAGGCGTCCCTCTTTCTTTATGCCCAGCCTGGGGACAGAGACTATGCTAGGCCCACCTGCCTATGTGGTTCAGTCCCAAGAGCCCGCAGCCAAAGCAGCCCTGCCCAGCCCTAACCACATGGGCCAGGGAGAACCCAGAGACCCACCCCTTTGCCCAGCCTGACCTCAGGCCCACTAGCCAGGCCCCTACTCCGTGGCTTCCTACTCACTCAGCTCAGGGACATTAGTCCCTCAATCCTGGTCCTTGGGACTCTGGTCTTGCCCCAAACCAGGA